GTACCGCGCGGCTCCTCGCGCACGACGCCGACGCCTTCGACGACGACGACTCCGGCGACGACGACGCGGCCCGGGGCGGCGGGGGAGGCGGTGGTGGAGGCGGAGGCGGTGGAGGCGGCGGGGCCGGGGGCGCCGGCGCCGCCGCCGGCCCGGCCTTCGACGACGACGGCTCCGACGGCGGCGACGAGAACGGCGGCGGCGACGACGACCACAACAAGAACGGCGCCGACGACCGCGCCGACGCCAGCGACGGCGCCGACGCCGCGGTGCTCGCCGCGTTCCGCGAGGCCGCCGCGGCCGTCGCGGCGTCGGACCGCGAGGCGTCGACGGACGAGAAGCTCGCGCTCTACGGCCTCTTCAAGCAGGCGACGCGCGGCGACGCGCCGGCGGCCGGGCCGGGCGTGTTCGACGTCGCCGGCGCGGCGCGCTGGCGCGCCTGGGCGCGGCACCGGGGGTCGCCGGCGCGCGACGCGCGCGCGGCCTACGTCGTCCTCGCGCAGGCGGTCCTCGGCGAGGGCGCCGACTCCGGCGCGTGGCCGCCGGACGACGACGCCGCGGACGACGACACCGCGCCGGCGGCGCCCGACGCGGCCCAGGTCGCGAAGTGGGCCGACTGCCTCGCGCACTACGCGTCGTCGTCCGACGGCGACGAGCCCGGCGGCGCCGCGGACCCGGACAGGTTCTACTTCGGCGACGAGGCGTGCCTGGCGCCGCTCGACGAGCCCCCGCCCTTCGAGGCCGAGGAGCCCGCGGACGCGACGCCGCCGCCGTCGCCGCGGGGCGGCGGGCTCACGATCCCGATCACCGCGGCCCTCGGCGGCGCCTCGCCGCCCCGCGAACCGAGGCCGCGGCGCGACGACGAATCGAGGCCGCGGCGCGACGACGAATCGAGGCCGCGGCGCGACGACGACCCGGCCTTCCGCGTCTCCGTGTAAATGCCACTTAGTTCATTTCGCGCGGTCGTCGTCGACGACAACCCTGAGGCGACGTCGTCCGATTGTCGCGATCGTCCGACGAGTCGACGTCCGCGGCCGGCGGCCCAGCTGACCAGGTCCCCATCATCGC